ATTATTGGAAAAGTACATAAATAAATAAGTGAGCTTTCATTGTCAAACCTGATTTTGTTGATCTTCGGGTTTGTTGCCATTCTTCAAGAGTGATGTAGACTCAGTGGAGCACACGTGTTGAAACAAGTGTCATGACTCATCTCTAAAATGGATCCCTCGAAAGATGTTTAGCTCTGGAGGCCAAGAGACCAGAGTAATCAATTCAACCCCACGTGCGTCAGTCAGAGCATGTTTATCAATAAACCCCTTTGAGTATCATTAGAATTTTTTTAATATTAATTTAATTAGTTGTTTAATCTATGATACTCAAAAAGATTTTTGTTAAATTTGTATGTTTAATGGTGAAACTCAATGGATATCACTAAAATAATAATAAAAAAATGAAACGGAGAGAAGAGAGAGACGAAGAGAAGAGAAATAAAACGATAAACACAGATTTTTTTTTTTGCCCAATGAATGCGTCACACGTGGCCAAGAAGAACCGATCCAAAAGTCTCAGTGAATTGAGACGTTTCACCCAATATAAGCCCAAAATCGATTTTTTTTATTCTTTTTATTAGGCTGATACCCACTAAATCTCACCAATAAACATGCTCTCACTGACTTGTCTCTCTTCTTATCTTTCGAATTCATTTTATCTCCAAAACGCATAGGGTCTAAATGGTAACCGCTGAATCCGGCTGAATTGGGCTGAATTGCTGAATCTGGCTGAATATATTGGTGGTTTTTTGCTGAATCTAGCTGAATAATTTTAAGTTCAAATGGTAACCGCTGAATCCGGCTGAATTGGGCTGAATTGCTGAATCTGGCTGAATATATTGGTGGTTTTTTGCTGAATCTAGCTGAATTTTTGAAAGTAATAATATAATTAAATTTATAAAAATATGAATTAAAGAAATATTTGTTGTGGACAATATTAGTTAAATAAATAGTTTGAAATTTTAATTTTAATAAGCTTACTAAACATAACTATCATATTAAAAACAATAAGCCATTATAATTATTTATTATTTGTTTAGTTTTTCCTAAAAATAAATTTAAAATACATTATTTTGAAATACATTTTAGAAATTAACTAATAAGATAAGAGTGGATGTAATTAGTTTTTTTGTTAAAAATATTAATATTATTTTTCAAAATTTGATATACTAAGATATAATTAATTGCATATATCATTTTTTCTAAATATATAGTTTAAGGCAAATATATATAAACTATGAACTATAAGCGTGGATGTAAACTTACCCAAATATTTTTCTTTGAATTCTTTACTAAATTTACGATGGTTGATGTTTAAGATAAATTCTAATAGAGAAAAATACAAAACATTTCAAATCCATATAATTCACCCAGTTTTACATTATTTTTGGTAAAGAAAATAATAAAATTAGATTAATTCATTAAATAAAAGAATTGAGTAGGGCCAGTATAACCAAATAACAAAAATTCCACCGAGATTCCTCACCAATTCTTCAAATATGAATGATGTAACATTTGAGGAATTCCACAGTAATTCCACAACAATTCCACAATTGTATGTTACCATTTACAGCCATAGTCTTGGAAGCATTTTTATCGCTGCTACCTTATTTATGAGAAAATGTTGACTGAATGCCGTAGGGCTGGGCAAATAAACCGAATCGAAACCGAAGTAAAAAAAATCGGACTGAATTGAACCGAATATTTGAAAATAACCGAATGAATATTAAATTCTATAACTGAAATAACCGTAACCGAATCGGTACCGAACCGAAATATTTTGGGTAACCGAAAATACCCAAAATACAATTATATTTTTAAAAATATTAGTTATTTTTAGACGAAAATAACCGCAAAAATATCCGAAATACCTAAAAATAACAGAAATATCCGAAAATATTTAAGCAAATAACCGAATGGATAATAAATTTTAAAAGCGAAAGACCCGGAACCAGAACCGAACCGAATCGAAATTTCAAAATACCCGAATACATATTAAATTTTAGAACCGAAACCGAATGGAACCGAACCAATAACCAAACGCCCTTGACTACAGTGATTACTGAATGGTCTGAATATGGTTTAAGTTGTGTGGGAGAAATAGCAATATCAATGGGCCTTAATATCAACAAACCCATTAATGGGCCCACTACTAATGGATCCTGCCGGACCTATCAGCCGACATTTAATGTTCCACTAACGGAGACGTTATCGGAAATATTTCACATTAATTAACGACCGTTAGTTCCTCGCCAAATATGTTACATCTGCTACAAAACAAATAATTTTATTTTCCACCGTGGACGGTTACCTACTCGAGGCCCGGATCCGAATCAAACCAACGGACAAGATCGAGTTTCAGAAATAAACGTCTCAGATTGAATCTGACGTACACGCTTTTATTCGTCACTGGTCTCTCACACTCATCAGTTCTTCAATCAGTAAAGGAATTTAGGGTTTAATTTTCTTCTCAGAGGTTTCTAGAATCAACAACAATGGTGGAAGACCACAAGCACGAGGAATCGATCTTGGAGAAGATTGTTGAGAAGATCCATGGCCATGGTGACTCATCTTCTCTGTCCGATTCCGACGACGATAAGAAATCTACGTCTTCTTCGTCGTCGTCCTTCAAGTCAAAGATTTATCGACTTTTCGGAAGGGAGAAACCTGTTCACAAGGTTCTCGGTGGCGGAAAACGTATGGATCTATCTCTATTTCTTTAAATTGAACTCTGATTTTGCTCGATTTAGTATCTTACATAGTGATTTTGCTCGATTGAGTAGTTTACATAGTGATTTGCTCTAATGTGAAGCTAAAATTGAATGTATTTGAGTGCTTAATTGTCTGCTTTGGTTGAAAATATGCTTAAATCTTGTGAAAAACTCAGAAACTTAAGTTAAATCTGGATTCATTGTTTGCATGTAGCTGCTGATATATTTCTTTGGAGGAATAAGAAGGTATCTGGTGGAGTCTTTGGTGCTGTAACTGCGTCTTGGGTATTGTTCGAGTTATTCGAATACCATCTCCTCGCTTTTCTCTGTCACTTTGCGATTTTCGCTCTTGCGGCATTGTTCTTGTGGTCTAATGCTTGTACCTTCATCCACAAGTAAGTTTTTGAAACATCTTTTACATGTTTTGAGTGAGCTAACGATGCGTCTGACTGTTTGATTAACTGATTATATATTCTCAGGGCATCTCCTCACATCCCGGAAGTTCACATCCCTGAAGATCCTGTTCTTCAACTTGTTTCTGGATTAAGGATTGAAATCAATCGTGGATTGACCGTTCTTAGGAACATTGCATCAGGAAAAGATGTCAAGAAATTTATCCTGGTATTGTTCATGTTAACTACCTCGATGCAAAGCGGTTTCTTTTCCTTTTCTGATGTTCCTCGTAAATGCTAACACTTGTTTGCACATCGTTTAGGTAATTGCTGGCTTGTGGGTTTTGTCCATTATTGGCAGCTGCTACAACTTCTTGACATTGTTCTATATCGGTAACGATTCATTAACATCTTACTGCATTCAATCTGACAGGAATCATACTTGCATATCTTGATAACTAGCCTTTTTGTTTTTGGTTTCCAGCTACTGTCCTTCTCTTCACCATTCCCGTTCTTTACGAAAAGTACGAGGACAAAGTAGATGCCTTTGGGGAGAAGGCGATGAAGGAGATCAAGAAGCAATACGCAGTACTCGATGAGAAGGTTTTGAGTAAGGTCCTGAGCAAGATTCCAAGAGGAGCTCTGAACAAGAAGAAGGATTAAGGAATGTAAGTTACTCTCTCATTGGAATCGTAGTAATGGTTCAAAACATGTTTTGTTAGAAGCTGTTGGTTGAAACCCCTTTGGTCTTTGTTATTATTATTATGTTCATTATAAACTTGGGGTTTTTAACCAAAATTATTTAAGAGTATGAGAAAACACGGATGGATGTGTTAAATATTGTTGTTGGTTATTTTTCTTTAGTTAATTTCTCGTCCTTCTAAGTCCAACAGCTCTCCCTGATTGTATTCGTCATGTCAATGTTTCATCATATCTGAGAATTGGTACATACAAAAAAACTAAAATTGTTTCGTGAGTTTTTCGCTCTTCACTGCTAATGCGATCTTACTTTACTTCATAAGAAGTAAACCCGATTAGGTATATTAATTACATTGCCTTGGAGATAGTAAAATTGAACTAGAAAAGGAGAGAAATTTCATTTTGGTTAATAGTATTCACTTTGAAAAAATGATAACTACACAAAACACACAGTCACACACACAAATTATCATAACTAACAACAAAAACAGTTTACTATTTTTTCAACAAAATTCTTTCTAGTTAGAATAGAAAGGAAAACATATGGGCTTATGATGTTCATTTAAGCCCAAGACGGATTTATGAAGCCAAATAATAATGTACAGTTGAGACAACTAGGTGTTAATCAACGATATAGATGGTAGTAGTCAATAAGAACAATAAGTCAGGATGGCCGAGTGGTCTAAGGCGCCAGACTCAAGTTCTGGTCCTCGTAAGAGGGCGTGGGTTCAAACCCCACTTCTGACAGTTCTTTTTCATTTAAATACTGTTGAATTTTTTTTAGTTTAATATATATAAGTTTTTTAGTTTATGTTCCATGATTGGATTCTTTTAATTTTTTTCATCTATTTTTGTTATTATAATCTAAAATAAACATACATTGTTGAAATACATATGTCGGCGGAAATATTAAACATCGCAGAGTCTAAAAGCTTAAAAAAAGGAAGCGAAAGCCCAAAAGAAAGAAGCAGTACCCTAAATTATAGAGAAACTAACTAAAACCGAGTGTACAAACCACAAAATGCGAACCAAAGGACAAAAGCGTAGATGAGAGCTCGAAAGAAAAACGGACAAGCCAAACTTACTCCGACACCAATGTAAGCAAAGCTAGCAGCAGGTTATTCGAATAGAATTTTTAATTAACATAACATGATACACATATAATAAAGAGACTATTCAAGAAGATTTTTTTTAATTTCGTCGTAAACCCAATATCAACAACAAATTTAACCATTTATTTTCAAAAGCAAAAAACTTAAAAAGATGAAACAGTGACTGACAAAAAAAAAATGAAACAGTAAAAACCAAGTCCAGTCAGATTAAACCGTACTCGTTAACCAACTTTTCACTAACTATGGTAAACCAACCCCTGACCCGACCCAAACCGAACCGTTCTCGTTAACCAATGGATTCAATCAGAGTCTTTATCCGTTGAAGTCAATACCTCCGTCCCAGCTGAAGCCAAATCCGGAGCTGTTCCGGTGCCGTTATACTGCTGAATCACCAAAACCGATGCTTTTGTCGAAGATTCCGGCGAAATCAACAAACTTCCAACAGGTCCAAGCTCCGGACATTCACTGTTTTCCCTAATAGCCAATGCAATTTCTCCACCTGGCATTCGACCAACTAAAAACAAATTGCTCCGCCGTACTTCCTCAATCGCCGATCTAACATCCGCGGCGGCGTTTTCAATCCTCTTCTCCACGAACTTAATCGACTCATCCGCCGACGATATCTTCCTTATCTCAGATATAATCTCCTCATCCGATTTCAGATTCTTCACACTCTGACTCTCGTTGTTAGTGTTACTCACTTCAACGTTAACAATCTCTCCGACTCTCTCCGGCGATACCACAAATCGGAAAACAGTCAAAGCAATTCCTGGATGCTCCGCCATACGTAATCCATAAGCCAATGCTTCACGATCATCACGACCACCGAAGAACAGAACAACAACAGAGTAAGAAACGTCTTGAGCTGAGACTTGACTCGAACCACCGAGTCCACGGTCAACGAATATACCAACTGAGCAAGGAGCTTCAAGCAAAACTCTCCGGTTAACCCAACGGTAATCGCCACGTGTAGTCTCTAACGAACCATCGAGCTGTTGATGCTTGTGAAACGGAAGAATCACAATGGCTGCTTTTTTTCTTGCAGCTGTTGTGCATATATCTTCATGAATATCAGACATTGAAGAGATTGCTGTCATTGGTCGGACATTGACTCTGCTTAGTTGTTGAAAAGCTTGGAATGCAACTACTACTTGATCTGCGTGTGCGTTGACACCTCTGCGGTTCCAAAATGGCATTCCGTTTTTACGAACTTTATGAACCATTAGAATAGCTGATGATCTCTCTGATAGTTCCCGTAAGTGGAGAGCGTATACGCAGAGTCCTTCGCCTTTTTCGATTCCTCTTGAGGCTTCGAGGAGGTTTATCATTGAAGGAATGCTTCCGGCGCCATGGAAACATGTGAGGATTCGAAGCTGTGAGTTTGTGTTCTCTCGTTCTACCGTCCTGTGTTTGTATTCTCCTTCTTTCTTAGCTCTTCTCGCCGGTTTGTAAACTGCCATTACGACTGGTGTGGTGATGAAGGTTGTGAAGAGAGCCATTAGAACCATTATGGCAAATGTCTGATCGTTGAGAACCTGTGGAAAACAGAAGAGAGATTAAAGTTATAACCTTTTGGATCTTGCATGATGCAAATTGTTAAGGATTTGAAAAAGCTTGTACCTTTCGATCTTTTCCGATGTTGAGGACGATGAGTTCAACCAATCCTTTAGTGTTCATGAGGAATCCTAATGTTATAGCTTCTCGCATAGGTATCTTGAAGGCGAGGGAAACACCGAGAGTGCCCAATATCTTACCGAAACAAGCCGTCAAGGTGACTAAAACCAGAAGACCCCAAGACTGAGCTCCTTGAATTGTGGCCACATTAGTTTTCAGACCACTTGCCACAAAGTAAAGCGGCAGGAAGAGACCGGATACAAGATCTTCCACCTTCTCAACGAGTGCACCAGCAAAAGGTCCTTCCTTTGGGATTAAAACTCCCACCACAAAGGCACCAAACATAGAATGGATTCCAATGGCATCAGTTATGAAGCCACAAACAAGAACTACAGCCAAAGTGGCGCAGATGTAGGTTTCTTCGATGGGTTCTCCCTCGTGGCACCTCCGGGCAATCCATCTAAAGATTGGCGGAATGATAAAAGCAGCACCGATAACAAAAGCACACCCGGAAAGGAAAACCCAGAGAGAGACAAGGGGAGAGGTATTGGATCCCGAGAGAGCAATGGCTAGAGCAAGGAGAATCCAAGCTGCCACATCGTTAACAGCAGCTGCCGACATAGCAAGTCGTCCTATTTCAGTGGTTAGAAGCTTTAGCTCAGCTAAGATACGGGCCAACACAGGGAATGCAGTGATGGAGAGTGCCACACCCATGAAGACGAGAAAAGCGGTACTATCCACTCCTTTGGAGATTGTTGCTTTTAAAACGAATGAAGTACCAATGCCAAGAGCAAACGGGAGGGTTATTCCAGCCAGGGCAATTCCCAAAGCCTTTTTCCCAGTGTGACGAAGGGCTTTGGTATCAATCTCTAGACCGGCAAGGAACAGGAAGAAGAGAAGGCCAAGATTAGCCAAAGTTTCTAGAACAGTCAAGCTTTTCTTCGGGAACACAGCGTCAAGAAAGACCTTGGAACGGCCAAGAAGAGAAGGTCCAAGCATAATCCCACCCTGCAAATCAACAGACTAATCATTCACCACACTGATCAAAGATTCAAGAAATTGACAAAGATAAAAAGAAAAAAACTTACAATAACTTCTGCAATAACACGAGGCTGCCTCAAAGGTCTTAAAATGTAAGCAAGAACACGAGTGAGAACAATAACGATAACTATCTGCAGAATCGCAAGAGGTAACGCAAAGTCTATAGGGTTATCTCCTTGGAAAACTCCATTAGAGGTTGCTTTCATCGGAGCAGGACATGCTTTTGTAGCATTAGTAGCCATTCTTGCAGACTAAACCTTGTTCCCACTTCCCAGAAGAGTAGAGAAACTTCTTCCTTCAAAAACCCTATTGAAAAAACAATCAAGCTTCGATCTTTAGGTTGATAGAAAAAAAAAAGCTTCGATCTTTAGATTTTAGATAAACTTCGAATCCAATTATGAATCATAATTTTATTATCTAAACAAAATCATAACAAAATTTTCAATTAGATTCACAAAAGATTAAATTTTTTCCAGAAAAGATTCAACCATAAAACATACATGCATATAGAGTTGCACCAGATATGATCGAGATTCGAGAGCATTGTGAAAATTTAGATTCCTAATTACACGCAGAAAAAAACCTAGAAATTGTGTCGAAATTAGCTAGTCAAAAACCATAATTATACCCTAGAAATCAAGGCATTGTGAAGAAATTAAACGAAAAAACGAGAGAGTACCAGAAGAATTCGTGAGTGATTCTGATCTCACTAGACACGAAGCGGGACTTGAAATAGTTAAGCCCCGAAATTAGCCGACATGTAAAGAAGATCGACGAGAGAGGATGATTCGTAGAAATTGAAGGCGACGGAGAAGAAGACAAAAACAAGAAAAGTGTGTGTGAGAGAGAGAGAAGTTGGATCGATATTGACTTGAAGATTACGACTTAAATAGAGAAAGAAGGAGCAGTACTGTTGTTTAAAAGAAACATATCTACCAGTCGTCCATTTTTTCAGGTCTCTCTCTTTTTGATACACTTAATGCTTAGTCACTACATTATCTCATTAACTTTATAATCATCATCTTTTTTTTGCATTTGTGTTAAGGAATTTTGCTTATTCTTTCCAATTTTTTGTAGTTTTTTAATAACAAAACTTAGCTGAAAAGGAGGCATCGTAAAGGAAAAGAGGAATCTGATAAAAGTCAACTTTTGTTTCTCACTCAATTCCATATTTTAATACTTAATTCTTATATATGGATAATAACATAATAACTTATATAGTATATACTTCCTTTTTTTTTCATATATTATAAAATCTCAAAAATAAGTATTGTTATCTATAAAAGTAAAAAATAATTACCTTCGAAGATAACAAAGATAATGCAAAAAAAAATATTTATTTATAAAATTATGTTACTACGAAAACAATGTTTTTTTTAGTGTAGATAAGAAAGAGTATACAATGCATGTATTGATGTATAGTAATATTAGTCTCCACATAAATAAATATAAAATTTCTAGTGCAAATGTATTTTGTTGACTAGTATAAGAAAATTTCTATTGGTGAGAAAAATCACTTAAGTTTCTCATTAATAATATAATTTAATTTTAAATTATAAAATATTGAACCAATCATGTGAAGACAAATATGATATAAATTTCTCAAAAAATTTATAAATGTTTTTATTTAAGAAATTCTTCTCACTCTCATTTTTTATAAATGTTTTTCTTTTTATTGAAAAATTCCCAAATGAAAATGCTCTAACGTTTTTTAAACTGTTTTTTTAGACAAGTATCATGACCATTATGTTTTTCGTTATTTCATTATAGATTTTTTATAAATTCCAATGGGAGTTATATAGTAAAGTAAAAATATTATAACCATGCAAACATGTCTTCCAAATAATCAGGATAACATGTTTACATGTTTCGTCTATGACATATTCCAATTAGTATAGATATAGTGAAATGTTAATGTTACCAAGATTACAACTTAAATACAGAAATTTAGAAAGAGAGAAGCAACAGAGTTTAAACATCTCTCATTCGTCCATTTTTGCCGTCTCACTTTCGGATTCCTAATGCTTAGTCACTCCTTTATTAGTATCTCATTATTTTTGCATTTTCTCTTAAGGAATTTGCTAGTTGTTCCAATTTTACTATTGTTTTGTATTGTACATTGTTTAACAAAACTAGCTGAAAAGAAGAAAAGGAATCTGATAAAGTCATCTTTTGTTTTTCACTCTTTTAATAATTCTTATAGATCCATTATAATAAAATAAAATACATAATGAAGTTTTCTTTGTCATTAATATAACCACAAAAGAAATTAAGAGATTTGCTTTATTGGTTTACATATAAACCATAAAATAGTTTTGCTGACTCGGAAGCAAATACAAGGTTTACTTTTCATGCGGCCGTCACATGTTCATGAATTTCTAGATCCCTCTTGTTGTTATTAAAATTTATACGGTTGGCATTTATGTAAACTGATTATTAAGAACAAAAATAACTTATGAGAAAAAAAAAAAAGAATATCTAGATCCCCATAATTACCATAAGAATTAAGACGACAATATTTTTGTGTAGTTACGTGTGTACGTGATTTTTGTTTATGTTTACATGTTATACTGTTTGGAATACCGGTACCTCTTTGATTCATATATCGTATCATCCATTAGGCATTAGTTATGTTTGAAATTGAAGCAAAGTATATTCTTTTTTGAAGCCGTAAGAGCTCATTATTGGATTATTTAAATATAACCTTAATGTCAATGATGCAATGCAAAATCTATGAACAAGTGATGTTTAAATAAAAAAGTATAACAACATGAGAATTAATAATGATTCTGATGTGTATGACTAAGTTTTTTTTTTGTTTTGTTGGTATCACACTGTCACGTATGACTAATTAAGTTGTGCCCTGGAGAATATCGTGCGACGATCATGGATGTTAGGGTGAATCTACACTCTACATTAGATCTTCGAATAGTTTGGTTTTCTTTTTTCATGATATCACCGTAGAAGATTCAAACCAGTATATTCTTTCGATAAAAATCACAACAATGAAGTTAAGCCAAAGTCAGAGTAAAATTTAATCTAAATTATATGGAAAATTGTACTATGAAGTATCTTCTCTTTTTTTTTATTGAAAGACTTTTTATGTATCTATGGATGGGAAAAGGGGATTTTCATACCCGTACTATCGGGACCGTGGATTTTTATACCTCGACATTTTTGTAGTGTATTTTCCAACCCAAACTGAAATAAAATTTGAATTTCATACCTATATTTGATAAATCGTGCAAAAAACAGAGTCAATCTAACGGGTGTTAGTCAACTCCGTTACGATGCTGAGTCATCGTACACGTGTACGCTGAAGTGTATCCCATACGACGTCGTTTTGATAATTGTTCTCAAAAGTTTAATTTTTTTGCAAAATCGGGGATTCGAACCCGTGTCCCTTGGCCCAACATCGAGCACCTTTACCAATTCATCCCACAACTCTAATCGAACATTGCCCAATCATTTTAAGTTATAAACCTTAATAGTTGTGTGTTTGGAAATAAACCAAACGACGTCGTTTTCAATTGGTGAGAAAATTCACGGTATTAAATTCATGATTCGGCCTTTGTCTCCGACTCTCCACCCAATCAATAGATTGAACTTGGAATATTCTAATAGGCATTTAATAATAGTATTGTATAAGAACATTTGTATTATTATAATTTTGAATTCTTTGATGATAGTGCAAAAAGTCTTGTGATTAAACACATCTCACTGCTCAATCGTTCATGTCTGATTTCGCACTATTCTCTTGCTCTTATGTCCCACTTCTCTTACGGGTAATACTTGCTTTCGTTCAACTACTTATCTCAGTCGGTAGAGTTAACGTCGGTAGCCTATACAACTTTTGTTAATAAAATTCATTTTCTCGAACTTTTTGTCCCTTGTAAGTTGTAATATATAGGTCGCGAATAGTGATTCGATTGATGATAAAGAAATAGAATTACTATGAAGCTTTGTCAAAAGACATTTTTCATTTAACTAAATTCTGTTAAATTATGCATTTTTCGTTTAATTACTCATAAACCGCGATTTCTAAACTAGAATATCAAATTAGTTGATCCAAAATAAAAAGATTTACAAGCCCTCTTGTTTTCTTTTTCTTTTGGAGTTTTGGGTTTAGTTTTGGACCAATTAATTTGGTAATCCTGATTTCTCAATACAATTTTCCTAATTACAAGTTACAAATAAAACAGGGAAGTGTAATGTTGTTGAATGCTACGTGGCCGACACTACGAAGTTTAATAATGGGCTGTCTAAGCCCATTAGGCGGTTAATAAAGCCTGTAAGGGATTTATGATAACTATGTAGTCCATATTCTAAATCTAAAACTAAAACAACACCTCTTGCCTCTTGGTCTTGGAACTTGAATGGATTAGGTTTATTCACAAATACAAAGGAGGAAAATGCCACAATACAAACACACAAAGCCAAAAAGTACCAAGTTACGGTACTGTCGCCTGTCGGAATATTACAGCATACCCAAGATCCCAGATTTCCACGTGTTAAAACATATTTTATTTATCTCAAGTTAGTGACATAATTAACAGTGACAGCGACATGACTCAAACAAACTGATTGTAGCCATTGGAGAGGATAAAATCCTTTAAACGGAAACAAAAAATCTTTTAATAAGAAACCCCACATGAAAAATATCCAACGTTCAAATTACAGGTGAAACAAATTCACAAGAAATTTTGAGAGATTTTTCAATTGAATTAAAGGAAAAAAAGGTGGAAACTTTATTGCTTTTAGGCCATAAAAAGATGGAAAGTAAAGTAAGAAGAGAAGAAGAAGAGAGACAGAAAGTGGAAAGATTGGTGGAAAAGTTAAAGAATCATATTAATAATCGATCTTCAACTCCGGCGCACATTAGCTTCGTCCCTAACTCAATCGTTGTTTCCTCTAGAAAACTCGCTGCTGCTTTCTGGGAGTTTCATCAATACCACTACCAAGAAGATTGCTCTTACCACTCCTCTGCTTCTGTTAGAATGCACCGTGGGGCGAATGGTTTCGCCGGAGCTAGTAACCGAAGACAACGTCACGGCAAGGCGGTGGCTGTTAAGGAGAATGGTCTTGACCTTTCTCAATTCCTTCGAGATCCTTCTCCTGATCATCAGGTCTCTCTCTAGGCTTTTTTTTGCGACTATGGATCGATTCATTAGCTCTGATGCTGTAACAATCGGTTTATGATTATGGGTTTTGTTAAAGTTTGGATTTTGAAAAGTGGGTCTTGATGAAAATTGTGAGATTTTTGTTCTTCTGGGTTTAGTCTAGATTTACTCTGTTCTTGAATCTCAACACAATGTGATTGTTGCTGATGTTTCAGTTAGAGTTTATGGTTCTTTTTTCTGATCAATGACGTGGTTTGGTTTTGGCGTTTGTCTCAGCCAGATAGTGCGGGAAGTCTAAGGAGACAGATTGGTCAAATGTTGATAAAGCATCATCAATCAATCGAAAGAAACAATCACGCGCTTCAGCCTGTATCTCCTGCTAGTTACGGAAGCTCTCTTGAGGTTTAAACAATTGAGTATTTGATTGTGTTTTGGAGATTTGTTTGTATTTTACATATGGATTTACGGTTTGTAGGTTACGACATACAACAAAGCGGTAACTCCAAGTAGTTCATTGGAGTTCCGAGGAAGAGCGTCTAGAGAACCTCATTACAATCTCAAGACATCAACCGAACTTCTTAAAGTATTGAACCGTATTTGGAGCCTTGAGGAGCAGCATGTCTCCAATATCTCTTTGATAAAAGCTTTGAAAACAGAGGTGGCTCATTCTCGTGTTCGAATCAAGGAGCTTCTTAGGTACCAGCAAGCTGATAGACATGAGCTAGACGGTGTTGTGAAGCAACTCGCTGAAGAAAAGTTGTTGAGGAAGAATAAGGAGGTTGAGCGGATGAGCTCTGCTGTTCAGTCTGTGAGGAAAGAGTTAGAAGATGAGCGGAAACTTAGAAAACGTTCTGAGAGTTTGCATAGGAAATTGGCACGAGAGCTCTCGGAAGTGAAGTCTTCCTTGTCTAACTGTGTCAAGGAGCTTGAGAGAGGGGCTAAATCAAATAAGATGATGGAGTTACTCTGCGATGAGTTTGCCAAAGGGATCAAGAGTTACGAAGAGGAGATTCACGGTTTAAAGAAGAAGAATCTTGATAAGGATTGGGCGGGTCGAGCTGGAGGAGATCAATTGGTTCTTCATATCGCTGAATCTTGGCTTGACGAAAGGATGCAGATGAGATTAGAAGGGGGAGATACATTGAATGGTAACAACATATCAGTGCTGGATAAGCTCGAGGTTGAGATCGAGACATTTCTTGAGGAGAAGCGTAATGAAATACCGAGAAACCGCCGGAATTCACTTGAATCTGTCCCATTCAACGCCTTGAGTGCACCACCGCGGGATGTAGACTGTGAAGAAGACTCTGGAGGAAGCGATTCGAATTGCTTTGAGCTCAAGAAAGCTGCAGAGTCTCATGGAGACGAAACTAAGAAACCAAACCAACTTAACAAAGACAGTTTGATTGATGAAAAGGCGAAAAGCCCGTCGAATTTCCAAGTTAACTTTGAGGATCAAATGGCGTGGGCAATATCGAGTAACGGAAAGAAGAAAACCGCCCGAGCTATTGAAGACGTAGAAGAAAAAGATGTAAAGCCTGAGAACAGCAACATTAAGAAACCAGAAGATGAGTGTGCTACTACGAACAAGAACGATGTAATGGGGGAAATGATTCGAACACACAGAAGGTTATTGTCCGAAACTCGTGAAATCGATGAAGCGTCTTGCAATTTCCCATCTTCTAGAAGACAAGCAAGTCCAGTTCGACAATGGATTTCAAGAACAGTGGCACCTGATCTTCTAGGCTCGTCGGATATTGCGATAGCTCATGGAGTAAAGGATAATACTTTGAAAACTAAGCTCGCAAAGAGTTCAAAGTCGCGTCTTCGGTTATTCAAAGGCTAATCCATCCAGAGTGGTTCGGTCGAAAACGAGAGTTCTTGTTGGATACACACAAATCCCTGAGTTTCATTCATATTCATGTTCTTTGTAAATCAAACACATTTATATATTTGTATAATCGATTGCAAGTTTTTGGATTATTTGTAAACATAATAAGCCAAAGGTGAAGTCTGTTTTTTTCTGTTCTTGTTTCAACGTATTTACTATCTCTCACTCCATAAATTACTATCTCGATAAATCAATAATGTACAATATTCCGGATCAATTTATATACACATAAATTAATCAATTTAATTTAGAAAAATGAGAATTTTTTAAAAGGGTTTCAAAGAGTAGTCAATTCTAACAATTTCTCTAAAATTTTTACCTACGATAGATATTTTGAAATAAAACAAATGTTATTTACAACTTTAATTTATTTTAAAGCATTTATGCTCGTCAACTTTATTTACAAACAAATAGTTTGAGCTCTATCTCGCTTGATGCGAAAGTTCTCGTGGGAAAATAGTTGTGAGCCAAAACATTTTCTTACAATTTAATTCTAATGAGTTGTTTTTAGACTATTTTTGGGATTTAATTTTATATTAATACACTTTTTTGATCTAGAAATTAAATAGATTTTAACATATTTTTAAAAGATTTCAGATGAAATTTAATTAAAATATTTTCCTTTTAACATCTTTTGAGCTATTTTTCTAGTTTTTATGTGAGATATTGTTTAAAATAAGAATGGTTAGTGTTAATTTATTTTCCAATTTTATTAAACCAAGCTATTTACTAAAATTTTCAGTCAACACTAAATATTTATTGTGAAAGATTTATTACATTTAGGAAATAAATCTACTAAACCCCCTTATAATTAAAAAAATATTGCTTTCCTTATGTTGATATATACCTCTCCTAATTCCAAAACATAATCTTAAATATATTAGCTCCCTCTTCTATTTTTACCGTCCTTATCTTGCAAAACAACCAAACGACGACATGACGACGGCCTTCGAGAAAACCAGACAATAATCTCGAGACGAGATATCAGTGCTTTACTCAAAAAAGGTAAAAATCTCATATCATCGAACTCCTTCAATTTCTCAAAATTTATGTTCGTTTATTGGGTTGTGGATAACGGTAGGCACGGATATGATATCCTAAAATTTGGAGATATTCAGATCAGGATCCGTTGGATCCGTCAACATCCGCAAGTATCCGGATCCTCAAAAAAGAGAGGCTACAAATACTACAATAATAATATTTAATATTTCATTTTTTAAAAGTTAAATTAAAAATAAAATAAAATATAAATATTCTATAAATATATCAAAGTATTTTTAAATAATACTGTAGACATTTTTATTATGTTCATTTTTAAAATGTTCACCAACTTTTCAATATATAGTTTATTTTGTGATATTTTAAACAACTATAATATTTTTATAAAATATATATAAATCTTGCAAACTCAATTTTATTTTTGGTATCATTTTTGTATATTATTTTCTAAAATCATATTTTAATTAATACATAAAAAATAGAAAAACCATTCGCATTAACATATATCATATATACATATGAACCAACGATACTAAATTTTACGAAAAAATGATAAATCCATTTTATGCTCACTCACATGGCATGGACGAATCACCTAGTTAAACTTGTAAAATTTTATAGAAGAATTTAAACGTGTTTTTAACAAACCTTGAAAGTGTTGTTCTTTGTATCAGAAAATGAAGTCGAAAAAGAAGGATTTCGGTGGTGGTAGAGATATAATCAGTGATTTACCAGACGAACTGATTTGTCACATTTTATCATTCCTTCCAACTAAAGAAGCTGCTGCCACTACTGTTCTTGCCAAAAGATGGAAGCCTTTGCTTCGGTATGTACCCAGTCTTGACTTTGATGACTCTGTGTGTTTCAATCCTCCAATGACTTACGAAGAAAGGAGAACGAATGCTAGAAGTTTTATGCGGTTCGTGGATGGGGTGTTGGCTTTGCAAGGGAATGCTCGGATCAACGGATTCTGCCTTAATGGTAAAGATATTATCGATGAAATGTGGGTGCTGGACTGGATACAAAATGTGGTGAAACGTCATGTATCAGATCTTCGTCTATACGTCTCTTCCTTTTGGGATGGTTTTGACTCGAGTTTTTATCCTCTGCCTCGAGAGATTTTTGTGAGCCAAACACTGGTTACGCTAGTAATAAATTTTGAAGGTGGCGTCAACATTAGTGTGGAAGGAGATGTTTCTCTTCCAAAGCTCAAGACTCTCCATCTTCATTATTTCAAGATAGAAATGAGTACGTTTAACAAGCTTCTTTCTGGTTGTCACGCACTCGAAGAATTAATGCTGCTTAATTTGGTGTGGGATGAGTCTTCAGAACCTGAACCTTGCTTTGCGACGTCCCTGTCTATCCCAACCCTCAAGAGACTAGAGTATTGTCGTTATGAAAGAGATGATGAGGCTAAAGATAAGGTGGCATTGTCATTTGAGAATCCTAATGTGGTCTACCTAGAATATTTTGATTGTGTTGCGGATAGGTATCAACAAGTGAGTTTTGATTCGCTTGTTGAAGTTAGACTAGGACTTCGACTGACATATGATCAGGTCCATAACCAATGGTTGGAACCAGAATATTATTTTTCATCCAAGGAAAAGAGTAATGTAACAAAGCTTCTCACCGGAATATGCAATGTCAAGATCCTCTACTTGTATAATGAAACTCTTGAGGTCAGTCCAATATTTCTCCTAATCTTTTGTTAATTGCTACTCAAAAAAGCAAAAGAAGAAGAAACAAAACAACCTGTATATTGATTAATTAGTCTTGTTACTATTATTAAAGCAATGGTTAAGGGCTTGACTTGATTTGGTTTGGTCTTTCAGGTACTTGGTTGCTGCCTTGATACAATACCGGTATTCAACAACCTCATTGAGTTAACTATTGAGACTAAACAACATATAGAATGGAAATCATTGCCAGCTATACTCGATAGTTGTCCAAATCTAGTAACCCTTGTCTTCGAGGTACTATACATACACAATCCTTTAAATCAACCCTACCTTGTTTTTCAAAACACACTTAGATTATGAAACTGTTTCCTTTATGTTTCAGGGAATACATCACCTATATGCAGGTAGATGTGAGGACGAAGACGGGTGCTTATGCAGATATCCTACTGATTTTGCGGGGGGAGTAGTCGCTCGTCCTTGCCTATCATCAAGTCCGGTCAAGGTTCTAAAGATATTGAACTTTGGAGAAATTTGTTATGTGAACAGTGAAGACGATGAGGAAGATGAGGAGTTTGTTTTTTTCTTAAGGGAGCAGATAGAGCATGTCGAACACTTCATAGAGAAAATGCCGAATCTTGAGCAAGTGATATTGCACTACCATACATCAAATGATGAAGATATGATGAAGAAAGTGTTCAAGAAACTTGAGAAGCTTCCAAGAGTAGCTTCAGCTAATTGCAAAATCCAACTAATCTCGGATAACCTCAGCTTATCATCTAATGCGTCCGACTAAATGGGATCTTCTAAAGACAATGACTCAATCCTATGATCATCTTTGAAGACTCTTTTCTTTTCTTGTTTTGGTTTTGGATCTAAACTCTTGTTTTACTTCCCTTAATGACTTGTGTTTAATGTTTCTCCATTTTCTTCTTATGGTCTCATCTTGTGTTTGTCTCTCTCTTCTGCTATATTAATTATGTTAAGAAAATTAGCACTCAATCATTGTTCTCTTCTTGAAATGGAACACTATGATAATGAGTTAACGTTGGTGATACTGAAACGGCATCGTTTAAAGTTGGGCCCAAAAGAAGCCCAATAATGTGTATTGGGCTAATTGTTTTTTTGTAAAGTGTTTTATTTATTTCACACTCGTTCGTCTTCGTCTAGAGAGAGATGGCAACGGCGTCGTTTAGATGGATTCTGCAGCTTCACAGAGACGTACCAAAAGCTGCTCGATTCTATGCGCAAGGTCTCGACTTCTCCGTCAATGTCGTCACTTTACGCTGGGCTGAGCTCCATTCTGGTTCTCTCAAGATAGCTCTTATGCAATCTCCTAGGTTTTATCTCTGCTTTGTGCCATTATCGCTCAATGCACACAATGTGTTTGATCATTTGCCTCAATGAAAACTTTTCTGAGTTTATTCCTTTAAAATAACTTTTGGATTTGGGTTTTTGTGTTACGCTGTTTATCTCTGAGAAGACCTCTCAAAGACTTTCTTTTTTCGCAGTGATCATGTTGCGGAGAAGGGATACTCATCGCTTCTATCGTTCACAGTCACGGACATTAATACAACAGTGACCAAACTTATGGCTTTAGGAGCAGAATTAGATGGCACTATCAAGTATGAGATACATGGAAAGGTAACAATTTCTTATGAAGATGTTCAAGTTTCTTTTGGGACTTACTTTCTGAAATGGGATTTGAAGAATTTTTTCGGTTGTTTTTTGTTTAACTAGGTTGCGGCCATGAGATGCCCTGATGGTTACATGTTAGGGCTTTATGAGGCTGCATAAGCATATGAATAGAATTGAAGCCTGAAACGAAGCCAATTCTGCATAGAATAGATTTTTTCTAAGAAATCATATCCATAAGCTCTTTGAAGCTATTGTTTACTTCTAAGAAACCATACCCACTGTTAGAGAGGTTGTGAAACTTTGAGGCCCAAGAGACCAACCGCCTGTCCTGCATTTGGTTTATAGGACGCGGCTATGAAGTTTATTGAGTAGGAGATTGATTGTACCATGAACTTGGGGATCCAAAACTCATCTCATGATCAGTAAAAGAGTTGTTATTTTCTGCCTCGCTTGATCGATTATAGGGAAATTATGATTCTGATGCGTCTTAAATGACGATGCGAAAGGGACCAGAGAGGCTAATAGGTAACTTCTACATGCTACTCAACTTTTCTTTGTGGAGATTGGTTTATAAATTGGTTCATGTTTAACTTGCTCTTCACATTGTTTCTTTAGTAAGCTTTTCTCAAGTCAATTTTTCCTTCATTATATATAATATCCTGAAAGTGACAAATTCATTTCTACACAATGCTTTGAAATTGACAAGATCCATTGAAGTGGACTTAATGGATTTTTGTTTAGTGCTTTTGTAGTTGTTGAAGGGTTGACTAATGTTGTTAGGTCAGCATTTTACAAAACTGCCCTCAAGTTTTGGAGCATTTCTACTTTAGTCCATGCCTCCATCGTTTTAATTGATTTTTATGAAGTGGGTTGATTTTTCAAAGATCTTGTCAAGATTATGATAAATTGGGGACCATTATGTTTGTAGTTGGTTACAAACAAATAGAACAAAAATTATGCACCAAATCCTAAATGTTGGACATTACCAATGCACTTTCATCTAGTGCTTAATTACTTGAGATATTTAAAATTTCTTACAAATAAACTTTCATTGATTAAACTTTGAAATTTCGACATGCAATGCAAGAATGGAATCGCCCCTTTCAAATATGACAAAATACTAGGTGGTCAAATCGTGTACTTAGTATATTTAGACATTTCCTCATATACTTTCGGGACAATAAAAAATAGTTAAATTTGATAGCACTCTAAAATACAAGTATTAAGTGTTAGTCTTCACAATGGTTATATATTTGTTGAATTGCGCACTGAATGCATGTTTGATCTCTGAGGACCAAATAGATGTGAATGATTTGATAAGTACTTAAGTAGTAACCGGTACGGTGAAAATACCTACTGGTGTGTGCTTGTGTGGTGCCATCCGAAAATCACTTGTTCGGATAAAACTAGCGTTTTATATGAAACTTGGTTGAAAATAAACAAAAATTTGTAGGCACACAGAAGTTGGAAAACATATTCGAGTTTACACCATGTCGAAAAAGATCAATGCATAGTGTAGTATATCGGTTTTTAAGCATGATCTAGTGAAAAACGATGTAAATTAATGCGAGATTTTGTAAAACGGAAAAGGCCAAAGTGTTTATGTTCTACCAAAAATGATCTCCTTCAAGTGAAAGCGATCAAGAGTATTTATGTGTAGTACATATCATGTAATCCAGATTTGTAATTTCATATACGAGTTCAAACAGTCGTTACTCTAGAGAATAACTAAATTCTTTTCAATTTATAATCCTTATTCTTAAGAAATAACTAAGAGAGGAAAGAAATAAGTGGCACACATGGTTTGTGAATACATATGTTATGGAAAATAGAAACTTAGTGATAGAATAATTAAAGACACAAAAATACTCTAAGAGATTTGTTTATCTGTACCCAACTAAGCTATTAATAATTGTACATTCTCAGGTGTTGCTTTTCATCACACTTTATTGTTGTTTATTATAACTTATAAGAGAGATTTTGTGATGTCACATCGTCTCGCACATACACATATGAATGTAAAAATGTGTATATTAATATAATGAGACCTGCATTCTTCTCTTCATCACCATTGTCTCTTTTTAGTGTGCCAATGGGATTAAAGTCAAATGCCATAATTCACCAACAATATTCTTTGTCTCATCATGTTTGTGAAATGGTGTATTCTACTTCCTGATGAATTCGTATAAAACTATATATCATTTTAATAATTTAGCGTTAATTAAACCTGACGTCCAATAATGGGTTAATTTAGATTCTAAACCAAAAAAGCTTCACTAAGAGGATATCAATCAAATTTAAAACTACGAACGTTCACACAATCTAGCATATGTTGAAATTTCAACATAAATCTAATTCATGCGTGAACTTAAACCAAACCAAACCATTCGGTAAGTTTCAAAGCTATACATATGTGCAACTTCACTTCTCAGAGGACTATACCACGTGTCAAAACACAAGAAATCCGTACACATGTTAATTTGAAAGAACAATGAGTAAAAAAAATAAAAATATATACACTCTATATTATTGATCCTATTAATAAAGTGGATTGGAAAAAGATTGTCACCTATATATGGCATACAATTGTATGCTTTAAAATAGCATAGTTTTTTTTATACTTCTTATAATTAATATAAAATGGTATCTTATTCTTAACTAAGTCTACACAAATACATATAATTAACTTTAGTTAATTAATTAAAACTCTTTTGTGGTATTCGGTGGAGTTGAGGCATCATTACAAGAATCTAAACATATATTTAGTCATGCTCCATGGATTATTATAATTAACTTTAACTAAATGATAGTTTTGATTATGTATAGATTACACTCAGCAAACCCCGATTTAAACAATGCTTTTTTCTTCAAAATTAATTCAAATTTCAAGTGAATGTGATCAAATTGTAGATCAATGCATGATGATGATGTTGACACTCGTCAAATGTCGATCTTAATGTACGAGTTTGCCCTCATGAGGGTACTAGTAGCCGAGGGTAGTTTAGTCATTAAAGGGCCTTTTTCCAACAATGAAGAAGACATATCTAGGAACTTGTTGCAGTGAAAAGAGATCAAGACCCGAGGTGATGTTGTCGTTGAACACTGAGATCTCTTTCTCTGTCCCTCTCTTGTAAATTTGATACTTTACAGCCCATTTTAGGGTTTTATTTTCAAAACCCTAATTATTCAAACACATGTAAAGAAATTGTTTTTGAATATATATTTCATATCACTTTTCTTAATTTTCTTATAATCTGATTTTATGGATCAAAAGCTAGATTCATTTCTTAACTTACAGTTGGGCGTAGTAGCTTGTGATAGCTTAAAGCTATTTGCAAGTAAGTCACCTTTTATTGAGCGAGAGATAGACACATGATATATTTTACATGAAATGGAAAGAAAAGAAAAAAAATACATTGTTGATGAATTAGTTAAACCTTATATTGGAAGATTGTTTTTGCTTTCAGTAGTGAAACTTATTTGATACAAAGAAAAATATAAAAATCTTCGTAGATTGGACTCGATGATGTTCAAGAAGGTCCATGACTGAATCCTGCAAAACATCACAATAAACACTCATATAAGTCCAGTGTCAGAGCATATATAAACATATTCATATCAATGTTATCTTGAGTTAATTATACACATGAATTCAATGCTTGTATATATAAATGAAATGTGTACTACCGAGAAAAAATAAAAATAGGGAGCTCCCTTCAGTCCAAGCATAGAGAAGTGAAGACTCAATTTGTCTCTCGCATCATTCATTCATTTACCATATGAGAACATGTTCTTTCATTTGGTATTTGGATGAATGAGTCGAGAGTCAATTAAATCTCACATATTACTCCATGAGTGGACCGAAGAAAGCTCTCTTCCTCCACCAACTCAACATCTATAACCATATTAACAATTCTGTTACTATATATATGCAAGCAAATGTAAAGAATTTGATTGTACTATATATATAGCATAAAACAATAAAACAGTGAGTTAGATAGCCCATGTTTGTGATTCTTCATGCAATGATCTTCCTCAGTGTGTGCTAGAATCAACTCTAATCTTCAAGATAACCCTAGATGACGATAGATTAATTTGAGGTACTATATGGCTTTAATGTAAAAAAAAAGGTTTATGTGAGAAAAAGAGAGAAGAGAAGAGAGATGAGAGAAGAAGAGATGTCTAAGAAAATGAAGGAGTTATGGCTTTTTATAGCAAAAACAAAGGTAAACATAAACCGGCAAAACCCACACAATGTTTTATGCATTTTTTTTTTGTTGCACTAACAATTCGAAATTATGTATATGTTTACTGAATAAGTGGGTGGTTGATATTGTATCTAACCGGCAAAAAGCTATGTGACTATGTGGGAGAAAATTACAGGGTAAGGATATTTCATTATAAGGATCTTGGTACGGAAGTTTTGGTACCATTGTGTCTACGTTTCAGAATTACATATACACATCGGGTTAAAAGCTGCGGTTTGTAAAAATAAAGTTCAGGCAAGTGATGCTGCATTCAAATCGTATCAGAGAAAAACAAATATGAAGTTGGATAATAACGGATGTTATGATCGGTTAGAGAGTAAGGCTACCATTCGAAAAGCATCGTCAAACTCCCTTCTGCTGTATTTTTCTCAGTATATGACGCATACATCTGCGTATGTAATAATTTGTGTTACAGTAATTCTGCATAAAATCTTTGTAATTACTCTTTGAAATTAAAAAAAAAAGTCTTTTGTTGGAAAAAAAAAAGTGGGTGGTTAATATTTTCTCCACGTTTTTGTTTGACTCTTAAGTTTTATTTTTCTGCATTTATAAAGATATTAGGGTCAATTTTCTTTATTATCACTTTAGTGGTTAGTCTTTACAATCTCAATTGCTTAGTAATTGACTAGACGAGTTCTACAAAAAAAAGAAAAAAAAAAGAACTAGGAAATTAAAGTTGATAAAAGTTATATCATATTAGCAATCTCATGTCATAATAAATTTTTACGATTAATTAATTAGTATAAGCGTATTAAATTTTATGGATTTATAACTCAAAATAATTGATAATAAATAGATTAATTATAATCTCCTATGTTTAAACTTCAAACACATGAACTATTGGGATGTAGTAGGAAACACATGAACTATTTACAAAGCTATATCAACGTAGTTTTACGCTGACAAAAGCCAGTAAAA